ACCGGGAACTGCTTGAAGTCTGGAACTCTAATTAGAGCTAAATCAATGGACTCATCCATCCTTCATTCGAATAAACTGTCCGGCGAAAATGTTTCCGGAATGAAACTGGAATGAAACCGCCTTTTGCTACAAGTGACCTCATAATTGGTACTGAAAGCTAATCTCATGCCAATTTCATCATCGTGAGGACAGTCATGCGATTAGAAAATCTCCCCGGTCGCCTAACTTGAGATCATTATAAACAAAACACCACTTTACTGTGCATATTTTTTCGTACTTTTACAATCCTTATATTGAGCATGTTGCTTCAGTTGGATTAGAAAAGTTCCTTTTTGCATGTTTCATAGATAACAACCTTATTGTTAATTTTCATGCCTTAGATCTGGGCAGATTCCAAACGCATGAAGTTTGGACACAGGAACGACGTTTTCGTCGGTTTTTAGGCTTCAACCCAGTATGGGGTTCTCTTAAAGATGCACGTGTTTGGCGCAACTCAGAATGTGAGTAAACTCAGGTGAACTTCTTAAAAAGGTATCCTAGTGCTGTTTTTATGGACCGAGATGTGAATTTTTCACAGAAGCAGCCACCATGATATGTTAAATAACCAACAACTACGACTTATCAACGTCGCACACTGTATTAATTAGCCCGCCCTCGTTTACAATCCTAGCGCACACGTAATTCAGTCTGCAAAGGCTAACAGTGCGAGTCCGAGATTAAGGATCGCGAGCTATTCGCATAGCTGCGAAACCTACTATGTTAGTTGACGCGGGTTCCCCCCACTGAGTGAGTTCCCGGCTGTGTCCATGTACTTTATTTACAAAATACTGACTCTTTCAATGCATCCACTTTAGAAAATCTATGTACTTCATAAATACTGACAACTTCCCGGTTGAAGTTATCGTTGGTGGCAGACTCAAGCACACGCCGGCGCTTTAAATAACCGGAAAATATCACTCACGGTTCTCAATACTTAAAGCCTACTTGCCTAGTACTTTCCACCCAAAATATCTGGAGGTTTTAGCCAGTTTTTTATTTTCTTAAATGGACATTAGGCAAGATCTGTTAGGCGCAGTTTCGTCCTCCGTGAGAAGTCAATGATCCCTGTTCCTAAAACGTATCTACTAACAAATGAGACAGTAACAATGTGGGTCCGTATAAATTAAACTCCCCCCGCGTCCTTCCTATTACCGCTCACCCTTTCTACGCTCCATCCCACTAGAGGCTTTGACCCCCTTGGTTTCATCCGTTCGTCTTCTGCAGGGACTAAGTAGTAATGTTCTCCCTTCATTAATGGGCTGCCCTCGGCTAACAGCAAGGGCAGGGGTTTTGCCCCCGTGGGAAGGCGAGATTTTTCCCCTTTTTCCGATGTGGCCCTACTGACGGCTACGGCAAATTTCTAAGGAGGATATGAGCTACCGTACGGCACGCTGGCAGCGCCTTCACACACCCGCCGCCTGGTCGACAGGTTGCTACCGAGTTCGCTCTTTCCTCTGCCCATTCCGCCCCTCATTGACACACGCGGTGAATGCTGTTGTGTCAGTCAGTGGGCAGGCTGAGTGAGGCACCGGAGACTGCAGAAGTGACAGCAGTAGGTTCCTCTCCTCTGCCCGCCCTCCAGCGTCCATTTGAATTGATATAGCCTATATTGCTGACGTCTGCCGGATCGCAGCCCTCGCAGTCGCAGTGCGGCAGAACGCGCTCCTGACACATGTCTGTGCCTGTCCATAATAGGGTCGGAACAAATCAGCGGAATGTAGGCACTTTTCCATACACAAAGGCCATAAGTAGGCACACAAGGCCCATCTGGCAACCAGGGATTCTGCGCACGGCAGCAATGCTAATTGCTATTTCAAGCCTGTGCTAGAGTGCTGTTTACTCAATGTTTGAAAGCGTGCATTCCCAAAGGTGCCAGGGGCTGTCTCAGTTGTCGGACATGCCTCTATCCATAGCCGGCATTTGGGCGAAGAAAATGAGTATTTTGCCCACTGCATCAAAAGGCCCGAAAACGTGAGAGGGACAAAAGTGACCGGGAGAGGGCGAATCCAGTATGGAAGCGAACGAAGGCGCCGCAGAAGTAGACTCATCACATTTTAAATTGACCTTAGGCTTATCATTTTCACTTTGACAGGAAAACTGTTTTTAACCAATATAGGTCCATGGGCACTTGAGACTTTGAACGTGACCTCATACAAACCCAACTGCGTCATCTGCTAGTTACTGTCCCAATTTCCGCGAAAGTTAGCAGCTGCCTTAACAAGGCGGAAGGAAGGGACAATTATAGGAAAATTATCTACAGCTGACAGGATGATCGTGATCATTACCGTACACGCAGGATGGCGGATATTAGTAAGTACGGTTATGTGAAGAGATGGGTCAGAAGTATGACCTCCAAAACAAAGGTTTACTTCAAACCTCATTATGAAAAAGCATTAATTGTTGCTCCTATGTTTCTTCGTCATCTTTCCTTTTTCTCTCACGATCAAAACTCTGTCAGACCGAAATTTCTACCAGCTCGTTATATTCGTTAGCAGGAAGGTTCCAAATGAAAACCCCGAGTAAAAAGTGATCGGGTTTTAATGCTAACTCAATTACGGATGGATGCACTGCGTTGTGGTTTTGAATTTCTTTATGTTAAACGCCTGTTTAAACTGATAGCATTCTACCCCCGGTAATTCCGAAATTATTCGTTGTTCTTTCAGCTTCATACGGAATAAAACTTATGCACGGCATTACAGGTAGCTATTAGCTTAGCCTCATGCTTTATCCAGGTGCTCTCTAAATTATTTGTGGCATGTCGTTTTCGCTCATCTGGATTGCTTACTTATCAGGTAAGCCTTCGGATCATCAAATGACTTAAGCCTTTCTGCAAATTATCTTTAAATGAACTAGACATTTTCAGCTAAAATGTTCGTTCAACCAGTCTTCATGTTCTATTAAATAAAAGTTCTCACCCATAGACGCATTTGAGGCAAAGTTTCCCTCACATTTTTGGGATATTTCAGCA